GGCCAATGTTAGGCGAACTTCGCTCGCGACACAGAGCTCGCCTGCGCATGGGGGTCGCCTGCTTCGTGGACTTGGAAATTTTCTAATTTTAGGGTTGGAGATTTCTAACTCAACTCGTCTTTTTCTGTAGTTGTGTTTTCTGAGGAGGTACTACTGTGAGGTGTCGCCTTTGGCGTCGTCGGGCATGCAGTTCCCGTGCCGTCTCCTCGATTCGAACTACTTGAGTCGGTGCTTGTTTTTGCCGCCGACAAGCCAGCTGAGTTGAGAAAGATGGTGTCTAACGAGAACCATTTCACGTTGCGCGAGTTGATCACTGATGCGGTGCTGATGGATTCGGACAGAAAAGAGCTAAAAAAGTCTCAGTTCTTGTTTAGCGACACGATGGCCGACCCCTCGGTCTTATTGCTCGGAGAGAGTAGATGGCCCCGAGTTGTTGGCGGAGTGCACTATTATATCCCCAGTATGCCGCGGGGTTTTCAATCGTTGAGTTGCGTTCGCTTTCGGTCCCAAGAACTATGAAGTGGGACCTGACCGCTACCCAGGACGGGCTAGTCTGTGGGATATTCACCGATTCTACTGTGGGATATAGGGTCGACAGTTCCTGTAAGCGGGTGACTACCCTTCGTCCAGGCCTGCTGCAAAACGAGCTACACGTCATCGTTTCTTCAAGGCTAGCGGGCAATTTCCTCCAATGGACTTTTGAGCCCCAGGGTAGATCCACCCCACAGCCGGTAGAAATGCTTGGTGGTCTAAGATCACCACATTCGTTTTGGCGAAGAACTCTGATCTCTAAGGATCGGAGTTGTTAGTGGCTGTCAGGGCCACTCAGCATGGTTTAAAGATTCATGCCCCCCAGTTCCTGAGTATCTTGGAATTGTACTGCCCTAACAGCGACACATTCTTCACACCCAATGGTGAGTTGGGCATATCACTGCATGAGATGTATGACATATCGGGACTGCCATTGGGGGACTTCCCCTATGAAGAATATGTGCCTGGCCAGGATGAGATTGACCACCTTGTAGTGAAGTCTCCGAAAGTAGTGGGGACTCTGTGGGAGCTGCTCGGCCATTTCCACATATGTCTGAACACCCTCGGCGCAGTGGACCACAAGGGAAAGAAGAAGAGGACCCCAGGAATTAGCCACAAGAATTGGGCTGATTACCTGTTCCCCCAAAATAACTTAAAGGGGCGAGCGATCACGGCTTTGGACCAGTGCGATGATGTTGAGGTGAAGAGGAGGATAGCTGAGAGTGGGGGAACGAATGCCCTTGAATATGATGAGGGCAGTTTCAGGGCGAGGATGACCTTCGAGTCGTTCCACAATCAGGCCAAATCCCCAATATCGGCAAAGGCCTTGCTTTCGGAGTATCTCATGCTATGGTTGAAAAGGTGTGTGGTCCCCACCCACTCCTTCGAAGCAATCCCTATGGAGGTCGTCTATCCAACGTTCCGTTTGGCTTACGGACGGCCATATGTGTTGGTACCTGCGGTGGTGGTCGGTATCCAAAAGGGGTTCGTATGCCAACGCCCCAATTCTACCATGTATCGTTCATCAGTGAGGGGGAAGGAGAAGTTGCTACGACTCCCAACCCTCGAGTCGGGTTGTCGTACACCTATTTAATGGCGTGGTTTTTTTACCACTGTGAATGCTTGATGAACACCCCTAAGGCCCTTCTCGATGGAGGTTTTGTCCCGTTTGTCTAGTGCTTGGAGAAGTGCACTTGGAAATGCAGAGACATCCCTGATAAGATGAAGACGCTATCCCATTTTAGTATTTAGAACTTTCACAGATCCTTCCCTTATTTTTTGGGTGAAGGCTATGGCGAGGCTCTTCACGATACAGCGGCAGCGGAACAGCACATCGTCCTTCTGCGTAGCGCCTTCCGTTGGTTGGTCAACATACGACCCGGTTATGACATCCTGAGGAAGAATTCGTCATGCTACCTGGAGCCCTACCTGCCTTGCCAGTT